GATGGTTTTGTCAGGAGGTTGGGTGGGCGCGATGGGGTGGAGGGGGCCGGTAAGAGGAGGCTGGGAGGCGGAGGAGGATGAGCGGGGGGATGTTGGCAGATGATGGATGGTGGTGAGGAGGGGGCTAGGGGGAGGAGGACGGGGACGACGACGTTGACATGGGGAAATTGAATGAAAGAGGAAGATGTTGTTCGACTCGGGCGCGCACTGGGTAATCATGTTGACAAGAACGAAACGGGCCCCACACAGTCTGCACAAGAAGGTGGTGGTAGAGAAGCACGGACAACCAGACTCGCCGCGAGCATTCGCCACTGGCTTACCCCTAATCGCAGCCCGCAGAGATCATTCGTCCCCCCATGGCTTGCCCTCGATCGCACTCGTTTGTCAGTGTGCCGTCGTTGAGCCTGCGCTGCGCACACCTGGCGCGACAGACGAATGCCGGATTGTCGCGCTCCCTCTCCTTCGCCTCCTCTTCTCCCGGATGAATCCTGGAGCAACAAGAGGAGGAGGAGGAGGAGGAGGAGGAGGAGGAGGAGGAGGAGGAGGAGGAGGAGGAGGAGAGAATCCTGGAGCAGACAAGCTGAAGCCATGCGCGCAACATATCTACTCACTCACCGCACGGCAGCGCGGCACAGTGACAGGCAAGGCACCCGCGGCCAAAGCCAGACCTCGGCGGCGCGCCGAGGGGGGGGGGGGGGGAGTGAGAGGGCGCAGGCCTCCTCGGAGGGTGGTGGGGCTTCTGGCTTCTTCCATGCCCCTGGCATCGCTCGGACGTGTGCATTTTTTCCTTCGGCGAGGACCATCGAGGAGCATCCTTGATCATCTGGCGAGACGAAGCCACGCACGAGGCCGAGAACAAAAGCACAGGGAATGGACGCCCGAGCGGTGGCCAGAGCCCTCCGGCCTTCTGAGCCAGTTCTCCCTGTCTTCGGAGAATCTGCACGAACGAAGTGGGCACGGAAAGAATGGGTACAATACCCAACAGCGGATCTTGTTCATTTTGAAGAGGGCTCGCTGTCCACGCCGCCGCGGCCTGTGCTCATTCGAGGCAGAAGGCCGCCCGCCCAACAGCGGCCGCTGTTGGTTTGGGACAACATTTGCTGTTGGGCATTGTGCCCATTCTTTCCGTGCCCATCTCGGGCGCCCAAATGTCTTCGGAGAAGGGGCTCCGAAAGCTCTCCCCCTACGGGGCGTGAAAACGACCACAGCCACTGCTTTTCTTCTGTTGCCGCCTTCCAGCCCGCAGAAACAAAGCAGTGGTTGTGGTCATTTTCGTTTCGCTTGGCACCGGGGAAATGACCACGACCACTGCTTCTTTTTCGGCCAGCTGGACAGCGGCGCAGACAAGAAGCAGTGGCTGTGGTCAGTTTCCCGTGCCGCACCCCCGCAGGCCGGGTGCCTGCCGAGCCCTCCGGGGAAGGCCCCTCCCCCCGGCTTTGCCCTCCTGGGCGCGCCGCCGCCGACGGGGCGCCCCGTGCCTCCGCCGCGTGCGGCCCCGGCACGGCCCCCGCGGCGCGGCACGGCAGCGGGGCACCCGTCCCCTTGGGGGAACAACCCTGACCTTCCAGAGAGCTATTTTTTAGCACTGGAGGCCTAAAAGCCTAAAAAACAGCGTAACAGCCTAAAACCAAGACGTAGAATAGCTCTGGGATGGGTTTTTCAGTCAGGTGCTATTTTTTAGCCCTCCTGGAAGGTCAGGGAAAAAGTGGCATAAACATAAAATCTCGGAGGTCCGCGCGGATTCCTCGGATCGACGCTGGGGCCCCCCGGCGGCGCCTCCGGCGCCGCTCCTGGCGCGCGGAGCGCGCCAGGGAGGGGGGTCCAGCGCCGATCCGAGAAATCCGCGCGGAGCTCCGAGTTTTTATGTTTGTGCCACTTTTTGTTCCCCTGTCCCTGCCCTCCGTGCGGCGTTGGTTCGACTCAGCGTCGGCGCACGAGTGGAGCGAGTGGCTCGAGGGAAGAGGAAGGCACCACTCACCAAGCCACCCCCATCCAACCCGAAGGCCCCCATCTGCCCTCCTTTCCCAGTGCAGGGGGGGCGTCGGGGAACATGGAATGACATATGTGGAACCCGTGCCCCGCACCCCGACCCGAAATTCGGGTCTTCGGGTTGGCTTGGGGTGGTACAGTGGGTATTCTTATGTCGGGCCTGTCCCCTGACAGGGGGATTTTCGACGGAAAATTAAAAATACCCCAAACATATTCCAAAAAGGTTAAAAAAATAGTAGAAAAATAGTCCCCAGACTATTTTTGGATTATTTTTCTTTTGCTATTTTTTGGTATTTTCTAGTTTTCCTCGAAAATCCCCCTGTTAGGGGGACAGGCCCGACTGAAGGGTAGTCAGAAACGTCCCCAGGAGGGGCGCCATCCGGCCCACTCCACGGAGGAGCCTCGCCTTCGGCACGCCCGCACCCTTGGGCTCGGGCCGGGCGAACGGGGGGGATTGGGAAAGGGGGGGGTACGAAATGTGCTGCATGCAGCCGGTTTCGGCCCCACCGAG